GACACGTTCCCTTTCAAATTCTGCGCTGAATGCGATCAAAGCTCAAAACATCTGTCGGACTGGAGATATACGGATAAACCTTCCACCAAATTGGCCTGGTTGATAGTCTTCTCCAGTATCGCAGCTGCGCATTCCACAGTATAGACCCCTGTGCAGGAAGTGGTCAAAGAGTGCCCGCTCGAGAGTAGGGAGGCCTGGAACAACGAGCTTCGAGAGAGGGCGTCGAGCTGCCAGGGAGGGTAGGGAGGGTGGAATCAGTGGTTAAAGCTGTAACTTCACTAGACTGACTTAATTTATGTATTGTAGCATTGCATCGCACAAGTGACTAAAACGAAGGGTTAACAGCACGCCTTAAGCAAAGAATGAGGAAGTTTTGCCACAACCACGTGCCACATCATACGTATTGATCTCGAAGCAATTTCCAGACTGGAGCATTCCGCCATCTCCTGAGGGAGCTTTGAATCATTCAAGGGTTGCGGAATTGATGGATTGGGGATTGAGTTTTTTGTTCATAGAGACCACGAATGAACTAAATAACATGAACCCTTGATCCTCGGCTTCGGTACTCAATTTGTAACAAATTAAATTACAATCAACCTTCTTTCTGAGGTGGTCCTGGAATGGCGACCCGCTCAATGTACTGGAGTTGGAGGTTCGCTGGGACGACGCCGCCCCATGTTCATCAGAGCCATGACACGATTCAGATTCATAATCTGAAACTGTAGCGGTCAACATGACATAATCAGCATCGGCCACGCTGGTTCTGACTGTGGGCCAAATGCGGACTGACAAAGGGCAAGAATTATACTTTTTTTTGTGTTCGATCAATGGGAAATCCGATCAAGGGGAATGGCGTGACAGTGATTGCCAACCATTTTTTGGGCCTTCTCATCACTCTAGCTTACCCACCTTGCCCCTTCTGACAAAATGACTCTGAGAGTATATCAGGCAAAGTTCTGTTGGAACTCCTTGACAGTTGGAGCCGTCTATTGACACCTGCGAGGTCAAAGAAATGTTCTCAAACTCAACTCGGACACCACTCACATTGGACAGACGGAACCGTCTATTGACACCTGCAAGGTGAAAGAAATGTTCTCAAACCCAACTTAGGGATCACTCACATTGGACTCAAACTGAATGCAACCTCTTTGTTCTCGTGGCAGCTTTTGGCAAAACACATAGAACTGAAGTGGAGAGCCCTGGAACGACCAACATGCCTGGAGGTGTGGTTCAACCTCAAACTCATCCCGCGCTTTCGCCAGGTAGACTTCCTGAGCTTTCGGCTGTGTGTCACGGATGCATTGCAAGTGGACTCAATGGAGACTTGGCGGTGAGGAGCATCAACCCATATATATATATATATGAATTACACTAATATATATTATATGTGAAAACTGCCTGATTCAGTCAGTTGTATGAAGACTAGTGGGTTTTGATCCGGTGTTAGTCCTGCAATGCAGCCGGCTGAATCTGAAGCAGAAGCTCTTTCATCAGTCTTGCCAAAATTTAGATGTTTGCAGCAAGCAGCCGCAGACTACTGGTCGGACAAAGGACAGCTCCTAGACTAAAGGTAATCCTCATGAATTCAGTTCTCCCCGATATGAACCACTGTTCAACATGCTTTTTGCAGCTCAATCACGCAGTGCCTCGTTGCACACATGGTAATGTTCACACGTCCTTTCCCTCCACCCAGCAGTCTGAGCAACGCCGCAGCCCACTTCTTCTCCTGACGGCAGTGTGACCGTCTTAAATGTCAAAACACGTTGCGCACGGGTGGATGGGATGGGTGGATAGGCTGGGACGGGGTATTGTTGTGTCAGATGTTGTGTGGCGAATGAAACAGCCAAAAAAATATATAATGCCCACATTTGAAGAACGGATCTCCTTGCCAGTCTGAAGCAGTTCGACAGCTTTTGATGTCAGCGTCCACCTTGGCTATTTTCTTTACAAGTCAGGAATTCGATGTGTGGATCGAGATAATTATTTCTCTGAGCAGTTTTGCTGCACCACCTTGATTGTTCCAGTCGTTCGATATTTATTTGGAGCGGGTTCATGCTCAGACCAGTTGAGTATGTTTTCGGGGGTGTCACCATGTCGACTTCTCAAAACCAAGCTGCAATCGGTGGCTGTGCCATCGTTGCATGAACCGCTGTGAGGTGTGAATCTTGGACCGTGTGCGTCTGAATTGCGCTTCGGCGTCGGAATCGGTAGCAAGAATATCCAACGCTTTCCGATTGAACGCATGAGCTACCTGACAGCAAACAAAATCGGACATTTCTTCAAATTAAAACCCATTTCCAGCTTCAACCAGATTCTGAAGGTGAATTGAAATGAAAAAAGACTTAGTGGGACTCTGGACTGGAAAGTTTTGCTCAGTGAAAAAAACAGAAAGAAACCGTGTGTGTGTGTGTCCAATCACGAGCAACACACAGAAAACCCGAACACAAGCAACAAACAAAATCGCTAGAAAATTGAGATTGGCGGCTTGAGCGATTGCAGAGAAAACAAAAGGCCGCAATCTAGTCTTGGCAGCCAACACAAGTCTCTCGAATTGCGATTGCCGAGACGGATCCGAGCTCGACACATCGAGGAGAAATGCAATCAGGTCTGCCAAGTGGGGCCTTGCTTGAGGTGACCTAACCCACGGCTTTTGTAACGAGTTGATGTCTGACGCCCATGCAGCTTGCAAAGCTTCGTCCGCCAAGAACTCGCGATTGAGCTCCGTGCTGGAAGCGCTCTCGTCGATCGTAATGCGATGTTGTCCTTCGCCGACTCCTCAGCCAACCAGTGACCAGTAAATTTGACTATGTTTTAACCTTATCTTGTTCATTCCCCGGCATGAGTTGTTGTGAGTGTTTTGGTTTCAATCTTGATCAATGATACTAGCGCCGTGACAATAACTTGATGGCAAACAAAGAAATTGCAAAGCGAGCTTCTGTGAAACCAGATATTCAATGAGTTCAGTGCTGCGCACTCACAAAACCTGTGGAAGGTGTTGTAGGAAAGTTTTCTCGCTTCAACTGGCCTTTTGCTCTTACTCATTCCCCAAGCCAGAGCAACTGTCATCCATGAAGTGGGCACCCATCGCCTAGGAAAGTGGTCGAGAGTGATGTGTGTGTGTCTTGAGTCTGGTGTGAGCCCGATTTGGGCGAGGTGAAAGCCTGCTATACTACAGATCGTGCCTGTAACAATGGCGTAGTTATTGGTGACCTGTTTTCAATCTGCCTGAAGAATCAGGGGGCAAGGCAGTGGCGGTGGGCTTTCAGAATAAGCAAGAAAACTCGATTCAAACACCAATTTGATTATGGTTTGAGTCAACATTGAGTCTGATATGAGTTTTTTTCTTATACATCTCAATAAACATCAAACAAAAATATTCGATACTCAAATCAGACTCACAGTAGACTCAAATCATGCTCAAAACAGTTGTTATTCAAGTAGTCGCTTGCTTTTACCTTGAGTTATGTTTGACTGAGTCTAATACGAGATTAATTTGAGGCGTTGTTTTCCCTTGAAACCTGAGTTTCTTGTTTGAGTAGATTTTGAGGTTTTTTTTGGTAAGTCTGTGGATGCTAAGTGTCTGTCGTTGATTCTCTGAACCAAGTTTGACCACTTCAGGCACTTCATAGCCGCTCCAGATTTCTCTGTGCAACTCGTTGATTTGCCACCGGATCTCCTCTAGCTTGGGCTTCAGATCGCCTTAGAACGTCCACAGGAAGCGAAAAATGAAAACCAATATATTGCTTATTAAGCTGTGCCCTGTCACTGTGTGTCATGTCTTTCGCTGAAAATGAATGGGTCATGGCACAGATGGACTGTGAGGTTCAATGTGGCGTGTAATTATGACAAGGAACGCAACCGCTTGGTTGTGAACAGTTTTGTGGCTACCGAAGTTTCCAGCCAGCAGCACTGATGTGTAGTTTGGTCTGACGGCACAGCGCAATCCACCTCTTCCCACTGGCTGAAGGCTTGTACTCCGCCAGCATCCCAAGCGGCGGCAGTGTCATCATCATCATCAGCCATGGAGTGGAGTGTCAAAAGGTCACGCAGTTGACAATCTTTTGTAAGATGTGTCCACAAGTTGGTTTTGCTGTCCATATTCTAGCAATTTGATGACTGGGGGGCATAGACTATGTTGGTTACAGAAACCTATTCTTTAAAGGTTGCACGTGGCGCAGACACACCGCCGTCTGTAGCCTGAATCCAACGGGTGAGATCACTCTAGGCATGAACAGGTCATCCCACAATCCTCTCGTTCGCTACTCGAAGCTAGCTCGACAGAGTTCCAGAAAAATCACTCGAAATCTTGAATCGTAAAAATCCTCTCGGCCATGGTTTTTCTATGAGGCCTCTATTCTAGCATAGACCCTCTCGGAATGAACTCGAAGCACCAATTGAAACCAAAATAAACAAAATCTCGGGGAACACTCGTTTGGAACCACGGTGCACTCGACGTTTGTGGGCGGCCGGTTGACCGCCCCCCCCCAGCTAAGCTATGAAAGTGGGCTCACAATAAGCTACTAGGAGCCAGGGCATCGCTACTGGTAGCAAAGGGCATCCCTACTAGGAACAAGGACGCTACTAGCTGTTACTAGCTCACAATATACAGGCATTCAACGGCGTGTGTACTACCCAAACCTAACCGTCTCCACAGGACATGCTGAGAAGTTCTTGTGGTAAGTGACGTCGACGTTTGTGGCTGTGAGGATATATATATATATAATACGGAAAGCAATTTCGGCTAGAATCTCAAAGTTGAGTTGAAATCACCTAGAACCATCCATCACCTTGCCGCGCCCTTCCTCAAGTGCCCTCACATCTTTAGCCAAGGACTGGTTCATTCATTGACCCTTCTTTCTCCACTTCTGCGGTTGGTTCATGCTGTAGATATATATATAACTCTATATATAATATAGATATACACACTGTAACACTGTACGTACATATGTCTGTCGTGGTGTCATGGTTTGATAACAACCCTGAAGTTCAAGGCGCATTGCCTGGTCGCTATTCTTGTCTTCCAAGGTGTCTCCTGAGTGTCTTGAGTTTGGCAGGCGGTTGTGTGGTGCGGAGGGGCACAAACAGAAGCAAATCTGGACAACGACACAGGACAATTTGGTACCACGATGTACAACATCTATCAACATGCATGAATTCCTTGCAAAAGCTGTTGAGTTTTGACTGCACAAAATGCCGCTGAAACGGCCAGCAGACAAGAAGACACAACTTCAAATCGTGAACGTGAGGTGGCTCCTGCATTCTCGGCCACTGGACGTACCTTGCGAGGATCTGCAGCTGGATGGATGTCCAACTGGTATGTACCTCTGAGTGAGCAAGCAAGTTTTTGAATCTCAAGCAACCTGAGTGACCTGTCTGTGACTAGTGACCAGTACTGAGATGGCAATGGAAATTCATCAAGAATCACCTGAACCAACGCACGTCCCAACGACCGGACCTGATGAGCGGTCAAAGCCCAAGACCAATGCAGGTCTCCACCTCCGGAGCTCCGGAGTCTCGCGCTCGCTCCAACGAACGAAAACACACGAGCAGCAGACGTGGTCCCCGAGTCCCCGGAGCCCTCTTTTTGGCCCCCGCACGGAGCAAAGAGATGTGTGCTTTTGGCTGTGAAACTGTGATCGGGCAGAGTGGTACCTCATGGCGTACCTCTAAGTTGTATTTCCAGACATCGTGCCGTTCTTCTGCAGAACTCGCCACTTGTCCTTGATCTGAACGTTGTCCCGGTGCTCCAAGCCGCAGTTTGCTCGGATCATCTTCCAGTCCTTCCCATATTTCTTGTATCCCGCGATGAGGCGCTGCTCTTCTGCCTCAGTCCAAACATTATAGCCTCGGCGTGGCCGAGCTGGGCCATCCTTGGCAACAAAGGAATCTCCATCGGAGCTCACCGGAGCTGCAGAGCGGACTTTCTTCACTGGCTGACTGGGCTGTTTGGGAAGGTCACTCAGCAAGGGCTCTGAGAAGATGTCCACTGATGGAGCCACTTGTGCCACCTGCGCAGCCGGAGGCTGTACAGGCTGTGCGGGCTGCGCAGGCTGCGGCCGCGGTCTCTTCCGGGTTTGGGCAATGGAACTTGCAGCTTGGCCAGCTGCATCCGCGCCCACGGAGTTCTGCGAGTCAGACAGTTCGATCGTCTCCAGGCCCCCTTTTCCCTTGATGGCCAGAAAATTACATATTCGTTGCCCTGCCTGCAACATCTTTGGAAGCAGCAAGCTCACACCCGTCCTCACATCTGCACTGGATATTACACCCTCTGCAAGGCCCACATCCCGAACTTCCAGCAAAGTCTCCAGGCCATGCTCTGGTGACTTTTGGACCTGCTGGGCCCAGTCACTTGCGGCATTCAACAGCATCGGCCCTGGCGAACTGCAAAGTAAGCGCAGCACCTTCGCTAGCCTTGCCACTAAACGCAAGAGAACACATTGGATGGCCTCTGGCACCTCTTTGGCCGACTCTCCCAAACGACTGGCAGCATCACAGAACTGCTGCACATCCTTGGCATCTTTCAAAAGTCGAATTGCTTCTTCATTGACCTCATCCACGGTGGCAACCATGGTTGTGGCCCTTGAAACTTCAGTGCTTGAGCTCTAGATGTCTGACGCAGGGGGTTCCACAAACTGGTGAGAAGCAGCCTGCCTGCTTACAGTGATTTGACCATTCATATATTGTATTATATTGTATTATTGTATATATTATATCGAATTATATTGTATATGTATGCACACTGCATTGCAATACTCTACATCGCTATGACACGTTCTAGGTACGTACTGTATCAGAGTGGAATGAATTTTGCTTCGCTCTCTTTGATGCGTGGAGACAGAAAGCAGCATTTTTCCATACCAATGGACCTTTGACATCAGGCCCTCTTGGCAAAGCGACATCCGACGGTGCAAAGGCCCTGTGACCTTGAGGACGTTTGGCTGTAGTACTCAACCTCAGCATGTTGACAACAGCCCAAAGCTGCTAAAGGGACTTTGTGGTTTTGTGGACAGCTAGAGAGTGGTGCTAAACTGGATGTCTTCTTTGCTCTACATAATTAATGCATGGCATGGCTTGACTCTAGTAACGTCCCTGAGGTCCCCCACTTGCCGCCCAGGAGGCAAGGCCTTCTCGGCCTTCTCAGAGACGGTGGGCCGCCGGTTGGGCCGTACCAAATCATCGGTTCCTTCACGTTCCTTCCGCTGTTTCAAGTGGACGGAGAGCCAATCCCTGCAGATGTGTTCTGCGGATGTTCTCAAGCTTAACGAGTGCATAATCACATACAATCGCGTACCCTCTGTACCCGCTGGTGAACCCTCGGCAAATTGTGCCTACATGTACCTCTTGTTTCGTCGCATCATCTCCCAGGCTCCTTGTTCCTCTGACTTCAACATGTTTAAAACCCCAACACCTCTGCAGTCAGCGATTGGCTCCAGTAGACGGCAGTCAACCCTGGCATGACTTCCGAGGCCTTCATGGCTTCGGAATTCTCTGCTGCCGAAAGTGCATGATCCGAGGCTGTTCCAGCTGCACAAACATGGTGTTGCAGTGAATATCATGACCGAGGACACCATCAGATCTATCAAATCCATCCAAATCCATCAGATTTGCACAAAGGGTAGAGTGGAATGATAGGAATGTAATTAATGAGCCTGTGTGTAAGCCAAAATCCAAAAGCTCCTGTTCCATGCCAATGTTGCAGCTGATGGCATTGGCTAATGACACTAGCTCAGCACATCAGACATTTCTCCTTTGTAAATCAAACTCGGCAAAAGCAATGTTGATTGCAAAAGCAATTGTTCGCTCCCACAAATGAAGAGGTCTCAAGATCACCGTGAAACCCACGTATCATATTCTTGCATCCAGATCTGCGAGCCAAAGGCAAAATGATAAGATGCCTCCACAGCGCAAGGAAAATGAAGACTTAAGTTATATAAGTTTCCCTACAAATCTAGGAAGCAAATGAATAGAGCGAGCGCTTCTTCAACAAGCTTCCCCCGCCGCCTTTAGGGCGGCGGGGGGAGCTTCCTTGAAGAAGCGTGAGCTATCCTGCATCCTGCCTAAGTAGTAGCTAAAGCTACTTAAGCTACTAGCAAAATACCTCTTCTGCTAGCTACCGACTCTCTAGCTAACCTCCCTCTACTAGCGGCCTACCCCCCAAAAAAAATAAAAGTTGGTTTCGTACTATCCGCCGGGCAGGCCATCGATTCTCCAACTGAGTAACTGTGGTGCTGACTTTTTGACAAACTTTTGGCACGTCCAAGCTCCTGTAGCGCTCTTTCTGCGGCTTACACTGCTCTCAAAGCACAGCAACACAGGACATAAGCAATCAGCAAACAAGTCACTGGAATGACTTGTTACATGACACTTGGCTCAACTTGGCTCGATGTGTTGCAGAAATTTGCGGGGCCCGGCCAAAATGGCCTGATTTGGCTGAAGATGGTCTTCATGCCCCCAAACAGTTGGAACATTCTACGTAGCCATTAGCTACATCCAATTCTGTACACGCTGTTGCCTGCAGCACCATCACGGAGTCTACAATGAACGGCACGCTTTTCTAGCAAAAAAGGCTGCCATCGGCAAGAAACAAAAACATCATAACTCTGAATTGACCTTGATGATGTGGAAAACCAATTGCTATTATTATACTTCCTGTCCGGTTGTTGGGTCCATCCCGGTGTCCCGGTGTCCAAAGACCGACCGTTGTGAAGACGTCTGTCGTCTGTAATGCACTGCCGATTTCATGCAAATCTTCAGTGGGAAAATATTCCTGGCTCAAAGAAACCACACAAGTGGCCCCTTGCGCATCTAGCTTCCTGCAGGCACTTGTGCGCATGGTCGTTGGCGAAGCGCACGGTTAGGGGATAGACGAAAACGGACATGTCCGGAAGATTTCGCCTCTCACCTTCTTGGAGGCTACAAGCACTTGTGCCGATGAGAAGGTGAGAACCATAATGCCGTTTAATGCCACATTTACGTGTGTCAAAACGAACATCAAAACTACAACTCGAACGGTATCACTGCATCACTCTGCTCTGCAAAGTGTTCGTACTTACCGCCAGTGAGGGCTGGGACTGAACTCAAGACTGCATGGTTGGCACAGCCAATAATTTTGAGGACAAAGGAATAGTACCGTTCTTCATCCAAGTGCCTTACCTTCGGCCGATTCTCTTAGCTCGCTCCACTCGCCTCTGCCCTCGAAGTCACCAAGCTTCCTTGGCGCTTCCATCTTTTTGGTGGCCTTGGGACCGACACTTGGCTATGGGCCTTACAGCTGCACAATCATTCACCAACCTGATACAAATCTTGCGTGCATAGAAACCCATCGGCATCCCAAAAAGAGAAGACACTCCCCACACTTCGTAATTACACATAATACATGTAAATACATATATGAGTTATTACATGAGTATATATGAGAGTATACCATCCCTTACCTTAGGAAGTCTGAAAATAAGGATGTGGCAACTTTGTTGTCTTCCCAGCCAGAAGCACGTAGGTCCAAGACATCCTGGCCGATCAGACAAGCTCAGACAAACTGACAAGCTGATGTTCCTAACCTCCTGGAGCTTCTAGCATCCTTGTTACTAGCAAGACCAGGAGCCTCTAGTACTCTAGTAGCGTCCTTGCTCCTAGTAGCGATGCCCTTTGCTCCTAGTAGCGATGTGCCCTTTGAAGACATAGTTTGATGCTTGCAAAGGACTGTGCTTGACATGTCTCGATGCATTCCTCCCTGGGTGAACGGAAAACAAATACAACATTGCAGTAACATGTCCGTTTCAATCTGAAATAACGTGTAGTAGACAGCTCACTTTCTACTTGTGACACAGCGGAGTCGATCTCATGCTGCTCTTCACTTTGCTCACACATAGACTGTGTGAGATTGTGTGAGCTCTTGACTCAGCTCTTTGGCTGTACTAAAAAGTTTTGGAATCGAAAGTCCTTGCATTAACAAACACGTCGGCTCAAAAGGGTCCATCAAAATTATGCGCTTTCACCTGAGTCGCGAAAATGCCGTAGCTCCGGTTTGGACCAATCCTACTTTTGACATCTTAAAGATCAAGCGTGGAGGAATATAGACTGATCCCACAGTCGATGTATCTGGTTTGCACGAACTGTGATGTTTGGACAGCGGATCCCCTCGGCCAAAGGGTCGTTGCAGCAACCAAATGGTCACGAGCAGCAAGCGACCGAGACGACCATCAATGAGTTGGCTTTCTGAAAGGGATGCTTCTCTCGCTTCTCTAAAGTCAGTGAGAATGCATGAGAATACGATCAATCACACACATGCCACGTTCAACGCTGGTCTTGCGCACTGCTCTGGTTATCTCAGCCTGAGGCCCTGACAACATCCCAACATGGCTCCTGGCTGCTGCAAAACACGCGGAGGCGAAACAAGTACGGAAGGGGAAAACGCATGGTCTGCGTGCAGGCGATGGCTAAACAATGCTAAACACGTGCCGGTCCAAGAAAACCACCAAGCAAGCCAAAGCAAGCACATTGGAATTTCGAAATTCAAAAGTGCCGATGGTTTCACCATGATTTGCCTCCAGCTGTTGGGCAGCAATCGCCATCCAAGCCAGCACATTTTGGATTGCCTCGATACACCACTTGCTGAACAATTACTGGAGCTCTTAACAACATTAGCTTGCGTGCTGGGAGTAGAAGAATAGATGCTGAGTCGCAATTGGATGGTGCACAAGCAAACCAGTCTCTCCTTTGCGCAATCGCAAACCTTCTGCAAGATTGACCAGAAAATTGCACTGCCCAGTATATAGAATAAAATCACTTCACATTATGTTCAACAAGTTCAACATTGTTCAACCGAAGTTCAACCGTTCAACGAGTTTGACCGGTTTGACTGTTACTCCCATTCTTCTTCTTGGCTTCACTTGATGTAGTGTTGGCCTGGCAAAAGTTCCTACAAACACGCACGTTTCTGGGTGTTTTTGTGGCAGTCTTCTTTGGAAATCGACACATGCTGTCCAACAAAGTCTCTGAGTGCCGAGCTGCTACATGCAGCGCCGACCGTGCTACTTTGACCACTTTGGCTCTTCTCAGTTTTCTCAATCGGCACTTGGGGCTTCTCTGCAACTGGAGGGACTTCAGGAGCTCCTGGCCAACTCACGACACCCTGCAAGGCACTGCACAACACCAAATCAGCAGTCCTACATGTCCAGAAAAGGGTGGGATGGAGTGGCTCAGCACCACATTCCCCAAGTGGTTCACCAAGTCCAGCTTGATGGCAGACTTTGAGAGGGTCAAGTCAAAGAATCCTGTCCACATGAAAAGGATCGAATGTTCCTCTCAGAAGTTGGTTTCTTGGGTCAAAAATAGTTATTCAAAAAAGAATAAAACTTGGTGATCCTTAGGTTTCTTTATGTGACTCATATATACTCATAATATTGATTCATTACTTACATAGGGAAGCACGAGCAAAACTGAGAAGCTGGCCATACTCTCGGCTATCATCACCCTGCGGGCTCCTCGCAATGGCATAACTGCTGATTCCCCCAGAGAGGCCCTTCGGTGCCTTTCAGAGGTAATTCCGCCACCTCCGCCAGTTACGAGGCAGGTCCTAGGAACCAACGGCTGGATGACTTGGGAAAGATTGCCAGAAACACATGCATCCTGAAGACATGGAAGGCTGGATTCAACCCTGTTTCCGCTACAAACCAGTGGTGAACTGGGACTCCCAATTTCTGTATGTGCATGTGTGTGTGTCTTTGCGTGAGTGTAGTGTACTAGGCCAGTACACCCCGAACGGGTTACAATATATTATTATACCAAGTGCTCCCTCCACAGCTTGACTAAATTCTGCCACTAAGCTCCATACAGTTGACCCGGCAGAAATTGAAGTTGCCTGAAAGCTCAAGTTGGAATACAATCTTTGATTGCAGAATATTGATCATCACATCACCGCCGTATTGTCCGGGTCCCCTCGGAATTTCGCCCTGCCCGGGCTCCCTGACTGCTCATGGATGTGTCCCGTCACCAGCAAGTCAAGGCCCATGGAGCGGAGCATCGAATACCACGGCAGCTGGCGAACGACGATGACGCCGTCTCGAGCGTCTCGACGACTCAAATTGATGTCGAAAGACACGGATTCGTTCGTCTTCTCAGGTGTCCAAAGCCGGATGAAACAGGTGATCAAGAATCGGGACACATCAGGAATGTCTTGCATGTGACGTCGTGTTACAGCCGTTTCTGCCGCCTTGTGACCGCAAGGAAAGTGGGTGACGGCAATCTGGACAGCAAGCAACACTTGTCAAACCCCAAGCCATGCGTCACCCTCGGGCATCTCATCTGGCTGCTTAGTTTGTGGACGTCTTGAACTGCCCAGGATCACAATCACCAGTACCAGCATAAGCACCATAAAGCAACACTCATCTTCCCACAAGATCACCTGCCAATCAGCCGTGGAAGTGTTCAACTTCTCCTCGTCAAAGGAGGATCTGATCTTGGTGCACCATGAAACTTGCATGGGGTGCAATGAATGGCAACGCCACATGGTGGCGCTTGAAAAGCTGAAAGTGTTAAGAGCCTGCATAGCTGAACTGTGACCCCGTCTGGAAACTACAGTCGGTCATTCACCTGACTAGTTCCTCTAAGCTGCTGCAAATTCGTACATCTGTCTAGAAGAAGGCATGTTTTTCGATCGGTGAATTCTTGAGAAAACTGAGGAGAGGGGAGTGAGTCACCGAGAAAGTACAGCAAATCAACACAGAAGTTGGGTCCTCCATCCAACTCGCTTGCCTGCAGGGGCGGGCTATTGCACACTTTGCTAAGTAAGGATCTGGTGGTCTTCCAGAAACTGCCAACTCGCGAGTTGGCTGACTTCGATTGGATGAATGATTTCCAATGTCCAATGCTCAGAAACCACAAGACAATCAGTCACACAATTACCATTGCACTTCATGTCATCTTTTTGATGATCCCCAAGAACAAGAAGCTACTAGGGGCTCCTGGCCTTACTACTAGGAGCAAGGACGCTACTTACTAGGGGCTCCTGGCATCGCTACTAGTAACAAGAAGCTACTGCTTTCTTGGTGCAAATGCCAAACGACCAGAGTTCCGCCTGTTCCAAAGATCCGAGAACCATTGTGCACACTGCTCCACAGATGCTGGTCCACCGGTGGCTGAGCAGTCTGCCTGAAGGATTCGCAGAGTCCATACAAATATTCAAGATTTACCAGCATGATGCGATTCATGATTAGGGAAGGGTTTAAAATCCTACAAACGAGTTTTTGCATCAAACTGGTGGCTTTCCACGAAGCACATGGAAGCATCGCTCCTGCACGTTGTACTTTCGATGACACAGGTTGGAGCCAGGGCGTTCATCGAGGCCATGAGCATCCATGACCTCGTGAACCCGCGTGGGATGAGGTCTCCACCCGACAGGTCGAGATGTTTCACCATGTTTCACCGAAAGCTGAGAGACTGGCATTGGAGTCCAGCATGAAAATATCCACATCGAAACCCAAATCCTTAGAAGGCCACGAAACCTGCTTGAGATGGGGGAAGCTGTGGATCTCCAGGATATCATAGCTGACATCAAGTTGAGGCTGCCCATGGTCCACATAGATCTAATTAAGGAGTGGGCAGGGTATCGAACATGCTGGCTAAAGTAGAGCGCAGGCATGACCCACCTGTCCTCAGATGCCAAGATGTTCATCCAAGACACGGGGGACACAAGTTGATGTTGACAAAATCATGATCAATCAGAGAGCGCTCACGTCAGGCTATATTGGAATGCAAACCATGGCAGTTTCCGCATAACAAACAGCTGGTTGATAGTCTATTTTCTTGCACAGCCTGCTGCATGATCCCCATCGACTCAGAAAACCAACGCTCTGCAAGCTGAGCCAAGATTCACTTGCCCAGGTGAAGGCCACTTGCTGGTCCCAGGCATAGTCAAATTGACGAGCACCTCGAAAAACAGGAAGCAAGCAGTTTTGCAAGCAGTTCTGTTGGGAACTGTTGGATCGAATCCTATTGCAAAAGGAATTGGGACTTCCTGCGTCCGAACTCTCATTTCCTGCCCCATGGCATCAGGAGGCCGACATCATGGCACCAAAAGGAACGCTGTCAGCCACTGCAACATTCCCCGGCGCAACTAGTGTCCCCAGATCAGTGCTTCATCTGGACTCGACTTCCTGAGCTGGCAGTTCTGTGCACTGATCAATTGAGGCTGGGGCCATAGTCGTGATTCCCCAGCACGGACAACCAAACTTTCCCGCTCAACGGCCCAGAATAAACCCAGTCAAAGGCCTCAAAACATGCTAAACACAAGGGATTCTCCAGAGGCTGGAGCGGAGGCTCCGCTATGATAGACATGTGTCTGATACATTTGTCTTTCTGTCTGACAGTACCCAGAAATCTGATTGGATCCGATCTCAGTCATTCTGATGAAAAGAACACAAGCTCCGGCCTTTGTGAATTGGACTTTGGTCGCTTCTTTGATTTGGCTCATGGCGCTGCCACAGCCCGTATTCATCCCCTGGCGCGCGGTTGGAAAGCCACGCAGAGCCTTCCCATGCGGATGAGCCTGTGGATAGAAATTGTCCCCCACGTTCAGGAAGTACTGCACACCTGTCCTGCAGATCCCAGCTACTGTTGAGCTTCAAAGTGAAGCTACTTGAAGTTCAGCCTTCTTCCAAGAATAACTAACGGTAAGGTCGCTTGAATAGAGGCGCCCTTACGTGCTCTCTTTTGCTTTCTATCTTGTAGTCCAGGTGATTACGTGCATCAGGTCAACCTGCCCAAACAGCTCGGTCTTTGCGGCACGCTTCTTCATCTGCTCAGCGACCACCACTTGAGCATTGTTGTCCACCCCAGCCACATAGCCACAGGCCTCAACAAGATCTGCTTATTGAATAAGCAGATCATAGCGGGTCTGTGGCACACATATGATAGTAGCTCCTGGCCTTGCTACTAGGAACAAGAAGCCATCAGGGTCTCCTGGCATCGCTACTAGGAGCAAGGACGCTACGATCGGGGCTCCTGGCCTACTAGGAACAAGGACACTCCTATTTGCTTCGCTAAATTCAAAGTGCGAATTTCGATTGGTTTTAGAATGTTTTAGAGCATGTGTGAACGTGGTCCCATCACATCCCATCGTCCCATCGGAGAACTTCTCCCGCCTCGTTGCAAGGTGCAGTTGAGTCACCGGTCTCATTGAAGCACTGCTTCATATCATTGATGTTGCAGGAAGGCCTTCGATGGTTGGTTCGATATTTCACAGGCTGAACGGATCATCCAATCAATTCCTCACATGGAACGCCTGCAAGTGGACAACAGGGCCTGATGAAGGGGAACACGTGTAAACCCGTGCCATCTCCATATTGCTCCCAAAGCAAACCACCTCAGCAAAGAATGCTGCCCATCACAGATTCGAACAGCCATACCAACAAACGGTTCTAAGTGGGGCACCCCAATCCTCGGCCAAGGAAAAATGCCAATGAGAGATAACGAGAGCATGTCCGGTCCAAAATGCCTATGAAACAAACCTGTTTGGTTGCAATGTCCCCGAAACTACTGTGTAATTGCCATGGAACAGCAGCATCGGTCACTGATGCCAAGAGGCACCAATGGTAAAAACGTGCATCTCGCCTCACCGCTCAGAGGCAAATGCAGCAGAATCTCTTAGTCCAATAAACTTTGCCGTCCCATGCTGTAGGTGCTCGCTTCGGCTTGCCTGTGCCCGGAAACACCATCTCAGGCCATGCCACCCCGTTGTACTGGGTGGCTTTGCCTTGCGCGTCGGCTCAAGCACTCACCCTGGTGTCACCACCTCCTGGGGCCCCGTGCTTGGAGGAGAAAGGCTGTTTTCTGCCAAGGCCAAAGCACGAAAGTGAGTCAAGGCTAGCTAGGATATGATAGGATCCTGTTACAGGAAACTAGGAAACTGTAAGATTTTGTGGGATCTGGTGTCTCTTGGTCTTACTATTCTTATATTGATATATAAGTATCAGAGAGCTGGAGCGACACTCCAATTTCGTGCGAACATCAAACATGACTGGTGGCACCTTTCTTGAGAACTCTCAAATCGCTCGTGGGCGAACCTGGGAAAACCAGCACGACAGTGGAAAACAGTGGAAAACCAGCAGAACTGCTGGCTGCTCACCCGCAAGTCATGTCAAAGCATAGTCATCAAAGCAAGTCATGATACTGATGCCGAGCCACTTGGTGGCAAATAGGAGACTTCCGGAGATGCTCCCAACCTTTTCAAACAGAAGTTGATTGCACTCGTGTCCCGCATCGCCATATGCATACCAAGAGAGAAGTTGGAACCTAGAAGCAATGGCCTCCAACCTACTAGCGATGACCTCCAACCTAATAGCGATGGCCGGAAACTCAAAAAAGGCTGAGCTGCTCACAGTGTGTCGTCCAAGCTCTCCGAAGCACCCAGCGCTGGCGCCAGCCATTCACTCACCACAGGGGCTGCATCCACATCAGCTTCGTGGCCGAACAGCACGTCATCACCTGAGCTACGCAGATACTGCGCTGTTCGCATGCTCTTTGCTTCCAAAAGGACAAGGAACCTCTCCTGAATTCGGAAGGAAATCGCTTTGGTCCCGGACTCACAGGCTCGAGCTTTCTCAGTGTTCGCGTCTGCAAAGCGTGCAGAGCGCAACTGTCACTGGCACACTCATCATCTGCCAGCAGTGTAGCTCTGGCTGATGCCAGCACCAGCCACAAGCGAACCATGGCATGCACACAGCAGTCAAAGCAGTCTAAGCCAGCCTTGAGAATTTGAAGTCTTGTTGAAGAATCTGGTCTTGCAATTGCAGGGATGAGCTCATGAAAGTGTCAAACCTTTGAAGTTGAGTGTCGTTCATGGGGCTAACGAGTTCAGGATGTCAACTTCGATCAGTTTGAGCTGCTCGTGAAACGCTGCAAACGCATCGAAAGAAATGCGGTATTGCCCGGAACGTGCATTCTGTCGCTATGCGACGTGCCTGGAGCAGGAACCTTGTCCGACTTTCCACGGATTTGTCCTCGAAGATTTGGAGACGGAAAAAAGAAATGGCATCGCACTAGGCTGGGATACGATCTGACACGATCTGAGAGTCCTTGGTAATTTTTTCAACTTTCTTGAAGACTTCACAGAGCTGTTTGTAGTACCTGCAAACCACAAGGTCATGCTTGTATATAGATGTTTCTGGTCAAATTGACGAGTCAAATGCAGTTCAGCTTTCCATAATTTGAGACTGGCACTTGAAGTCTTCCTTGTCAAATACCTTTGTTAAAATCATTTGACGCCGTCTGTTGCAAAATGTGAAACGAGGTGTCAAGCTCTCCTCAAGCTGAAGCTCATCGGCAGAATTCTAAGAGTGGGTCCCTGCCAGTGATGGTCAGAAGACTGGCCTGAGAAGACTGGATGAAAATGGATAAATGGGTAATATTAGTAATATCATATATCCCACCATCCCATCACAAACTTTCCCTGCAGTCCCTGCAGCCCTCAAACTGTAGCTGCAAGCCGCTGCTCCAATGTCAGAATTACGAGGACGGTCACTGGGTGTGAGAGGGCCCCCACTTGCCAATTGTTTGGAATCGAACTCCGCTCAGGGTTCCACCTGTGGCAGTATTTAATGTGGAACAGTGGAACTTGATGGATGGTTTTTGTGTGTGGCCCCTTGCAAAGAGGCCCTGCAACCATTTCATATCATGTCTTATCTGCGCATCTACATGTCCCGAAGAAACACATTTGGGCCTGATTGCATGACTGTGAAGTCCATCTCAGGGTGCCCCGGCCAAGGCTTCCAACGAGCTGGTAGACCCAGGCGAGTACTCACTGAGGAGCTCCTGAAGAACATTCGCCAAACAGCAGTGGTCGGCAGTGCTGAAGGCCCTCCACCGGCCCAAACATGAAGCATGGATGAAAACCCCACGTCAGCGGTGAGCCGTCCTGTGCGCAAGGGATAAGGAACTTTGATGCAAGCATCCTGCAAGCCGCTTACAAACGAGGAGGTCAAGGCATTTCGAATAAAAGGTCCTATGTGTGGCCTGTGCTTGCAAGTCCCTCAAAGGTCTCCAGGAATGTTAGCTTTTAGTCCATTGGAACCCAACCACCCTCCTCCGAATGTGACATGCTATAGAAGGAAAGAAACCCTGTCCAAAAGGTGATAGAGATTTGCTCCTGCAAACTTTACATTCGAAAGCAAGTCAGCAAGTCTCATACCTGCTGTACATGTGGTGCCCAATTTCCCTCGGAAGAGCTCCAAAACAAAAAATAAAGAACAAGGCCAGACAATGACATAAACTACCGGGCATGTTTTGTGTTTGGTGTTTCAGATGTCTCATGATTTCTCATCATTGGAAGAGAGGCCACTGAAAGAGAGGCTATTGCACCGCCCAGACTTGCCACACAGACATTCCTGGACTGTGTCCTCTGCACCAGCAGTTGGCCTACGAACCGAATGTTGCCCATCACCTGAGCGGCTTAAGGGAAGGATAGAGGCAAACAACGGCAAACAGCACTCCGTTCCTTTGCTCGCTTGATCTCGCTTGTATGCTTGGTCTCAAGATCACGAATAAGAGCCCCACCCGCAATCGATATCTCTGTCTCTTTTCTTCGTACTCTTCCAATTCCTTGGACGAGTCGCTCGGCTGAATCACAAGTCCTCCTCTCCTTGCATGTCAACTTTGTAACAATCACCCGAGGAGGTGACTTCACGGCTGGCTGCTGCCTTTTTCTTCGGAGACATCTCCTGCAATCCCAAGCTTCTATGAAACATATAAGCCTCTGCGCACAATTCAAACCCTTCGTCGTTTGAGTTGCTTGAGTTGAGAGGAGAATGGCCGGCATCATACAATTCAAGTTCTGCTGCTCTGCTATTCCCAACACCATGGCATGCAATCTGAACTGTCAGCGAAAACTGGGACATTGGTCGGATAGGTCCTTTGGCGGATCTTTCAGATTGGCTTCAAAGGATTCCTAGAAGGATTCTGCAAAACAAAAAAGACTGTCTGAAATCCTTCAGGCCTGTCAATTACCTCTAACAACGTTTGTTGAATACCTGTTTCTTCACGATCAGTGCACTTGACTAAATGACTATAAATTACAACTATATAAATATGCTCTAAGCACATGTTGCATGGCCAAGCCACTATCTTTACCCACGCTAGAAAAAGACTTCATCACCAGCTGCCTGGCACTGTTGAAGGAGGACCGGTTTGAACTTTCCGACCTGCCAGCTGGCACGCTTGGGATTATTGTGTCTGAGCTTTCTGTGGCTTGTTCACATCTATGCTCGCTCGCTCGCTCACTCACTCACTCACTCACTCTCTCTCTCTCGCAAGAATATTGACTTGAGCTGGTAGCATTGAGCTACCAAAGCACCTTCAAGCATTGTACTCGCATGGATTCCGCATGGATGATACCAAAGGCACCTTCAGGTGTTCAGAGCACCAGTCGTTGAAGTGCACGCAGAGGTTGGTGTACATCTCAATAAAATGGTGCTGGGTGGTAGCCTCAAGAGATTGGGCAGTTGAAGACAAGCTTCCCCTAGGCTTTGCTCCATCAAACGGGCTTACTCCACCATGCATGTTTCAGCTTTGGATGCCACTGCCACCAGCTGAAAAGCTGAGCAACCCTGAAACCTTACCTCTGCATATACCGGCGTTCAATTAACCTCATTGTCAACCATTTGTGTCACATGTCAACCTTATCCTGGTTATCGTCAAAAAGCTGGCCAAAAAAGCCACAGGTGCATTTCCTTCAACAATGATCAACAATGTAAGTTACATTGAATCTGTTGCTCGCTGCATGTCATGTCGCGCTTGCCCTCCAAGTACAAGCACTCATGCCATGCCCATCTCTCCCGAAAGTATGCCGGGTTGACAGGCCATAACCTGCATAACCTGCTCTAAGATCCAGTCGTGACGTTCGCACATCCAACCACCCCTGCTCCTCCCCCCTTGATCCCCCTTGATCCTCCGACCTTCTCGAAGACCTCGGTCATCAAGATCCTTGGTCAAGGCTGCCATGGCAACTTGTTTTGAAAAGAGTGGGCCAAACTCCTGGGATGTCACACCCCTTAAGCAGCTCTTTGCATGTTACTTTTGACCAATGAGCTTCAGTTTACCGGTGATTTCTGGGCGGCCGTAATGTGCAGTTTTGCTTTTTTGACAAAATGAAAATCGAATCCACCCGTAAGTCCACAAAGGAGTACCAGACTGTTCCCGAGTACTGAGGGCAAGATAATACATATATAGTATATATATATAACTCGATGCCAGGTTTTTGGCAGGCTTGGCAAACAAGGTTACACATGTTGATGTTCAACGATGTTAAATGCTATAGATCAGTTGTAATTTAATTGTGAGCATGTTGCTGTGCTTGTGAAAGAGGTGTTTCTGGAAGCCAACAAGAGTTCCGATAGCAGCTGGATGTAGCTATATATATATATTATATATATATATAGTAAGCTGCCTCGCTTCTGCAAGAAGTTGGTGATTCTGCACAATGCTTTCTTGTCCGTGCAAGATCCTCATTGGTTCCTGAAGTCCCTCGGCTGACTCGGCTGTGGCATCCAACGACCCCATAAAGCCGGACTTGGACGGCAAGTCCGTCAAGTCTATGGTTCGAACACTCTTAGAAGCTGATGCCCCACAAGTGATTGCCTCATTGCATACCTGGTATCCGTCTTGCGCATGTGCCCCAACAGTCTCACACATGGTGTCGTCTCTCCGAGCGGCTTGAGGTGTGCCTCTTTCGAGATGCCACACTCGCAGAGCTGCCTGCAAACATAAGTCTAGACTGGCCTATATACCGACGAGTGATGGAAGTGCAGATTTGGGGAGAAAGCGAAGGTGAGGGAAGACCCATCAGAGCAGCTGGCGTCATTTCATCGCAAGTCCAAAAATCTACACGTGCATCTCCTACTTTTCACTCCCAACATTGAAAGCTTTGGGTCGTGTGCTTTGATCATGCTCAAACAACCCCTGCTCCTCCATTCCCCAAACCCCATTCCCCAAACCCAAGCGTCCATTTTAAATGGATTTGGCGGTGCCAAGCTTTCTGAGCGCATGTTGGGGCGTCTGCCTAGTGAGATCATCAAACTTTTCAAGAGTCAGCTTGTTCAGAATGCTCCTCAGTATTGCACTGGAAGACACTAGGTTGCACACTGCGCAATGCAACTGTTCAGGAGTTCAGGCTGGCAAGACGGTAAAGGCACAAAGCAATGCGCAGAAGGGGGAGTATCCAGAAGAGGGTTCAGAAAAATGCTGGAGCAGTCTCGTCTGTTCAATGACAGCCAAACTCCGGAAGCTGGTGTTAAGTGTTCCGCTTCATTCGCCGAGCGATTTCCTGGCCCGACTGCTCGACACAAAGAACGATGTCTCTGAAGTTGTGATATATAATGTAGCTCCTGTAGGCCTGTAGGTTAACAAGTGAGACATTCTTGTGAAAGAGATGCAATTAACATCAAAAAGCACTACACTCCCTGAAACAATCATGGAAGTCGAACATAGGCCCCTGGAAGACTATGATTGTTTGAGGGAGGGTATATTCAAAAACTCCACTGCCGGCAATTCAGTGTGATTCCTCCCTCATGCTCCTTGTCGTCCTCCTCTTCGGCTGACACCTTGCAGCATGGCGCACAAGGTCCATCTTCCACAAGCCGCTTGTGGCTCCCACAGTGGGAGCTCTTCTGAAGGGGAAGCAAACAAAGCAAAAAACAAAGCAAAGGGATGGCTTGCTCCTCAAGTCTCCAGAAATCTGTGGTGCAAAACTATG